TAATTCATTTGATTACCGCACTATGCACTGTCTTGTCTCTCGGCCTGTATATGTCAAGAAAATAGTATATAGATACACGAATAGATTCATTTGTAGTATACTCTCTCGTCTTGATTATAAGGTAGGATGACAGTTTTTTTCATCCTATTTTTAAGTTACATTATGACCCGTCATTTATCATGTGTTGATTTTATACTCATGAAGCACAATGTACATTAAATAAAAGCAAAATTTGAAAGTTATTAAATTTTAATAAGACAGAGTTGGTGGGATTCAAGATTTTTATTGGTTTTGGTGTGATAGGTTAAAAATGACTTGTAAATAAGATAAGAGGAGTTCATAAATGATTATTTGTTTTTTTAATTGAATGCTTAAAGCTTGAATGATGTGAGTGAATGGATGTGAACATAATTTTCCACGTGCAGGCTTTCACGTCAAGTTAGCGTCAAGGATTGAAGAGGCGATCTGTTTCCTCGGCGATCGCATGCTATTGCATAATGCTTTGCTCCTTGAAAACTCCTTGTATGCGACAACACTGTATTATTCTAACCACAACATTATATTTGCACCGACAGGCTTTGAACATTTCAGAGTTGGAATGTAATTGTTATTTATTCTTTACCTTTACACTGCGATCAACAGAGTTTCATGTTCCACTCATAATTGTATTATGAGAAAAAGAATTACATGGATATAAAATTTGCTGACATTTGAAAATATGTGCGCTGCTTCCCATTTCAAATCGCGACAGATATATTTACAAATGTTTGGAAATTTAAAAAGTATTTTCACAAACAAAAATTCTCTTACATATTTATATCAAGTTTTATAAAATTATTTTTAAAAAGTTAATCCAATCACTTCTGGTCATATTAGAGTATAGTTTTACGTCCCCTAATTATCATAGAAGTTCAAAAAAGAGTTTTGTTAATTAAAAATGATGGGGAAAAATAAATGAATTAATGTTGGTTATTAATGTAATATAATTTATTTAATTACATTTTTTATGACTTTAAATTCAATTTGTTTAAATTAATTCAAATAAATCTTGATTATTATTTTCCTACATAATGAGATAAATTTTTTTTTTTTGCCAGAACCTACACAATGAGATAATTAAAGGATATGCTAGGAGAGAATGTAGGAGTTTAGTGAAAAATAATTTAATATTTTTAAATTTTTTTCTTTTAGTTGGCGCTTCAAATTTTCGGATGTGTTAAATAAATATCAAGGGTGATTTTACTCTAATTTTCGCGGGCAGACCTTCACGTCAAATCGAAATTAGCGTTAAGGGTGGAAGAGCCGTTCTGTTTTCTTGGTGATTGTGCAATGTGCATGATGCTACTCCGCGAAGACTCCTCATTTGCTAATGGCACAACATATCTACAAAATTTCTGCAAGTCCAGGAATGTCGGAAGCAGAGGAAGGATGGCCTTAGAGAGGAATAGGCTATTTTTAGAAGGCGATGCAAATTTTGGGAGCTTCAGGATCAATGTGGTGTCCATGGCCAGACACAGCACACCAAAATGACGCAACTTTCTTTGGCTTCCCCTTCCATTCCAACAAAACAAAAAACGCAAGTCAACCAAAACCCTCACAGAAGTAGAATCTCTTCGAGCAGCGGTACATTTCAATGCCCACAACCAACCTCTATACCTCTGAAATGGCCGCTGTTCGACTCTCCCTTTTCTTCCTCTTCCTCCTCCTCACTCTTCCTTCTTTCTCTTCTTCTTCCGACACCGACGCCCTCCTCAAGCTCAAGCAATCTTTCACCAATTCTGCTTCTCTGTCTTCCTGGGTCCCTAATTCCTCCCCCTGCCGGTGGGCCGGCATCATGTGCGACAACAACACCATCATCGGTCTCCACCTTTCCGACATGGGTCTTTCCGGCAAGATCGACATTGACGCTATGCTGGAGATTAAAGGCCTTCGAACCGTCAGCTTAGTCAACAATTCCTTCTCGGGTCCTATACCAGAGTTCAACAAAATCGGTGCTCTCAAGGCTTTATACTTATCCACCAACCAATTTTCAGGGGAGATTCCCTCGGATTTCTTCTCCTATTTGAACTCACTGAAGAAAATCTGGCTTTCTGAGAATAAATTCTCGGGGCCCATCCCCAATTCCATATCCCAGCTAGACATGCTCCTAGAGATTCACCTCGAGAACAATGAATTTTCCGGAGCCATCCCACCTCTGTCGCAAAGCATCAAATCGCTGGACATGTCCAACAACAACCTTGAAGGTCCAATCCCAGAGAGCTTAGCGAAATTCGAGGCTAATTCCTTCAAGGGAAACGAGGGGCTATGCGGGAAACCTCTAGACAAGGCGTGCGACCAGCAGGGCGAGAGTAAAAATTCTTCCGGCCACGTCATGTTGATCATCCTCTTCATCGTCTGCTTGATCATCGCAGTCGCGCTGTTCTTAGTGGTTAGGTCAAGGCGCCGTCTAGACGGCGACTTCAGCGTGCTGAGCAGAGATAGCGTGGACGAGGTGGTGCAAGTGCACGTGGGGAGCTCAACCGAAAGCAGAGAATCGGATTCGAGCGGGAGGGGGACGGGTTCCAAGAGGGGCGTGCCCAAGAGCGGGAATGCGGATCTGGTGGTGGTGAATGAGGAGAAGGGCGTGTTTGGGTTGCCGGACTTGATGAAGGCGGCCGCGGAGGTTCTTGGAAACGGATCATTGGGATCGGCATATAAAGCGGCCATGTCGAACGGGTTAAGTGTGGTGGTGAAGAGGGTGAGAGCGATAAATCAGATAGGTAGAGATTTTTTCGACGCCGAGATGAGAGGCTTTGGGAGAATTAAACATGCAAACATCTTGACCATTTTGGCATACCACTTTCGCAAAGAAGAGAAGCTCATCATCTCAGAGTACATGCCCAGAGGCAGCTTGTTATATGTTTTGCATGGTACTAGCTCAACTCAAACGCACCAAACAGATCATACCAGGATTTCAACAATTATATATATATATATATATATATATATATATAGTAACCCCATTTGATCGAGAATCTTTGATCATTATGTTTCAGGTGATCGGGGAACATCTCATGCTGATCTGACCTGGCCCGTGCGTTTGAAGATAATCAAGGGAATTGCACAAGGTCTTCGCTTCCTTCATTCCCACTTCTCTTCCTACGATCTTCCCCACGGCAACTTGAAATCCAGCAATGTCCTCCTCACACAAGATTACGAGCCACTCCTCTCTGATTACGCCTTGCATCCGCTTCTCAACCCCAATTCTTTCAACGCATTATTCGCCTTCAAATCCCCAGACTACGTTCAGCACCAGCTAATTTCCCAGAAAGTCGACGTCTACTGCCTCGGAATCATCATCCTGGAGATCCTCACCGGAAAATTCCCTTCTCAGTATCATAGCAACGGGAAGGGCGGCACCGACGTCGTGCAATGGGTGCTCGCTGCAATTTCTGAGAGAAGAGAAGCAGAAGTGATTGATCCTGAAATGGCAAACACCCCTAACTCCTTAGATCAAATGCTGAAAATTCTCCAAGTCGGAGCCGCTTGCACCGAAAGTAACCCTGAGCAACGAATTAACTTAAATGAAGCCATTAGGAGGATAGAGGAAGTACAAGTCTAAAAAGTCCACATGTCAATATAGCTTAGTTCTTCAAGTTGGGTTTGCTTGCGGGGCATGCGAGGTTGTATATATGATCAAACGTTCAGCCATTCATGATTGATTTTTTTTTGAGGAGGGCATAGCCACCAATTTAACGCAGGCACAGAACAGCAGAGAAAGAGAAAGAGGTAGAGAGGGAGCGAGAAAGATGGAACATGGCTTCACAGGCACGAATATCTTGGCCTTTCTGGAGGTTATATGGACGCCATTGATGCATGAGAACTCACGTAAAAGAGATGGATGCAGCAGAGGATATATTGAAGAGAGGCGAAATGTGGTACCTATGGGAAAAATCAATGTTTCGAATCTAATTTGTAGAAGACAAGTGGGGGGAAGCATTTTTCTTGTATTGGGAAATTGTTTCCTCAAAACTCCCATCTTTAATCCTTGTCTCCCTCTCATTAATCAAGGATTTCGCAGTTTCTGCATCAAATCCTTGGATTGCATCTGTTTTTTTTTTTTTTGACCTGATGGATTGCATCTGTTCGCCACCCTTTTTGTAAAGTTTATTTTCTTATACATGTTAGGTGTGATTCGAGTTGTTCTCAATTAATATATATTCAACTTCCAAAAGTTTTGAATAAAGACAGGAAAACTGGATCAAAACTAAATATCTTCTTATACTTAATAATTTTAAGAAATAAGTTAACTGCTGATAACAGATTTATTTATTTTTCCTTTTTAGGTATCGAAAAATGTGGGCGAACTTAAGGATAAAAAAGCCAAAAATAGAGGTAAAAATTAATTCAATACTATGAATATCACCACAAGTCGATACAGACAGTTTTTGTCCACACATATAACTACTACCTCCCTCTCGTGTTTAATATAAAAGTTAGTTAAGTAATTTAAATATATTAAAAAAACTGTTAAATTAGTTATTTATAATAAATAAATATTATTTTCTCAAAAATATCTTTATTAATTATGTAAATTAATTAGAACTATTATTTGATTAAATTTTTAACATGTACAACTATTAGAAAGATTATTTTAAAAAAATAAATATGAGAAATAAAATAGGTTAAAATTTTATATTTATAATGAAATTAAAAGTTAAATTAATTTTTATATTAGAATTGAATAATTTAAACATGAATACAGTATCTCTCAAGATACAGAGAGTTTTTTAAGATTAGAAAAAGACCATTGGAGAATGCAGAGTTCAAACGCTGAGCCAGGCCAAGCATTGTTTGTCTACTCACGTCGTCATATTAAAATTACATTAGTGATTAGCCTCCAAAAACACTGTACCACCAGCCACCACCGAATCACATATGTAATTATATATATGTGTGTGTGTGTGTAGAGTTGAAAAACACGCACATCTGCAGTGTGTGTAGAGTTGAAAAACACGCACATCTGCAATCTTCTTTTGACCAACACCGCTATTCCCGGACACGATCCTGATTCCTGAACTCTTCGGCGAGAGAATAATGGAGTCTGGGCCACTATCGGCATCAGAGATCGCGGCGAAGTTGAATCTGCAGCCTCACCCTGAAGGTGGATTCTTCGCCGAGACTTTCCGTGATGGCTCCGTTCAACTTCTCAAGTCGCAGCTCCCACCTGAATGTAGGTGCTTCAACCTATCTCACTCGTTCTAATTTCTGTATAATCATACCAATCTTTCTGTTTTTCCTTCTCCGTTTCACCGCCTTCATTCAATTCTATCTGTTTCTACATTTTTTTGTTCCTTTAGATAAAGTTGACCGCCCAGTGTCTACTTGCATATACTTTCTGCTTCCGTCGGGGAGCGTGTCTCGCCTGCATCGTATTCCCTGTGCTGAAACCTGGCATCATTACATAGGAGAACCTCTTACGGTACGCTCCATTATATTTATTAATCGCTCATTTATAGAAAATTTTTATTCCCCTTTTAGGTTCTTCGCACTGAAAATGTTATCCACAAATTTTTGGTGGCAAAAGCACTTACTTAATTTTCCTTCACTTGTTTTGTCCCACTCAAAAGATATTACGAACGAATTCATCGACTAGTGGCTTTTTTCTTTGAACTGATCTTTGTGCCCTGTCTTTCTTTCTTGTCTTTCTTTAAATCTTTTTGTCTATAGACACGACAAATTACATCTCAAGTTCGATTCTTCTGATCAAAGACCTAAAGAATTTTAACCTTTTGTTATAAGATATATCAAGAAAGGTTTGGTGCTAACGGCATCTTTAACATGAGCTAATACTCTGTGTTAAATCTGCACCTAGTTTCCATCTCATGAACTTCTCTGTGCCTGAAGTTGGAGTGTTCACAGTCATATTTTTCTATGTTTTCTCGAGCGTTTCTCTACTCCATCCCTTAGCTCTGAGTACCTATCCACTTACAAAATATGGTGAATTTGGACTTGGTTGGAATTACTAGGAACTCAACATTAAAGTACAGCGTGGCTTTGTAATTATTACGTCTCTTTCTCCTATTAAAAGCATTAATCCGAATATGTTGCTTTTTAACCTGTTGGATGAACGTGCAGTGTGTAGCTTTTAACTCCCATCGATGGGCTATGATTCAGAAAATTAAACACATTCTTCTGAAAACTTGGCTTTCTATTTAAAGGCACCCTGATTAGCTACGAGTAATTGATTGTAACTAGGTGTTAGCAATCTGAAAGGAAAAAAAAAAACATCTGTGGAACTTCTTGCCTTGCAAATTTAATTTGATTCTTCCTGTTCCTCTTCTCTTCATAGCTTATGCGTTTTTTCGCAGGTAGTGGAAATAAATGATAAAGATGGAAGTCTCAAGTTTACCTGCCTTGGACCCAATCTGGCTGATAATCAGAAGCCACAGTACACAGTGCCTCCCAATGTGTGGTTTGGTTCATTCCCAACAAAGGATTTTGACATAACGCCAGATGGGTCTATGCGAGGAACTCCTCCTAGAGATCGTGAGAGCCATTACTCTCTAGTAGGTTGCACTTGTGCCCCTGCCTTTCAGTTCCAAGATTTTGAGCTGGGAAAACGTTCTGTTCTCATTTCTCAATTCCCCCACTTGGAATCTCTCGTCAATGCTCTCACGTATCCTGATTCCTGAGCTAGTCACTGAGTTTGAGAAACTATTTTAAGCTTGTGGTATTGGTTGCCAGATATCAAACCTCTTGTTCTCGTTGGTTCCCTTCTATTCAGGTGTGGATTACTTCTGTATTTTGTAAAATCTGAATATTTAGACCTTCAGGAGAATCAAATAATTGTTTTTCATACACTTATTTCAATATCAGTTAGCGTGATAAAGATCTCGTGGACTCAAAACAAATCCTATTTTGAAGTCCCATGGAAGATTTCGTGGCCTTGTCTCTAGCAATATCCGATTCGAGGTCCTCGATTTAGTGATCAGCAGCAAGATTTCGTGGATCTTCCGTTCTTTTGATATTTTTTAGACAGTCTTGTTTATATAGGTGATGCACAAAACTTTCTTCGTAACTATATAATAATTTTTAATTTTTAATTCTTAATGTCTAACCGTATAACTGGGAAAACGAGAATATGGATTAAATGCATTTTTTATAGCACGCCCCACACAACTCAAATGAACCTTACCCCGCAACAATAAATTCTACTTCATTTATTTCCAGAGACGGGTATTCTAGTTGAACCCTATTGGCTAAACCAACATTCAGAGGTAAACAATAGGATTATTCAATGGTTCAATTGAACAAAATGGACGTTATAAGCTGATTTGAATTGTCCAAATTGCTCGATTGAACAGATTATAAGATCCGCTTAGTGTGTAGCGTTCCTAATTTCGAAGTTTTTTTTTTTCCTTTTTCTTTCTTGCTTTTTAATTTTTTTGGGCTTTTGAAAACATAGATCACGCGTCTCCGCCGAAGAGACACCCTATGCAGGCAAGGCTTTTAAATATGCACAAAGTCCGGATTTTTTTTTTGGGCGAAGATCCCTCAAAGCTTGGAATCCTGCCAAAACGTATGTTATCAATTTATTATCTACTTATTTAGGGCTAAAATCTTCTGCAAGAAATTGCGACATGCTCCCTGGCATGCTTGAGCCTTAAAAGCTCTTGATTTTGCCCGGTTCATCCTCCAATTTGTCGCATTTCCTTGTCGCATTCATACATCCGAAATTACTGGTACAGTTCAACTTGCATTCTGCTTCAGCTATCACTTCAATGAACAGAGTTGTGCAGAATCGGAATACGAGAAGCCATTTATATCTCAAGAACAATATCTGCAATTAGAAAATATGAACGTACAATCAGATCACCATAATTACTTTGTATCTTGCCTTCTTTTTCTTCCCTCCCCAAAGAACAAGGGAACTCTGCGGGTAGAAAAGTACTCAAAGGATGTGCACTCAATTAATGTCAACTAGATAGGTGTTTGTGTTCAAACAACTTAAGTACTCAAATCTGCATGAACATTTAAAAAATGAATCATGTTTATGCATGAATATAGAAGTTACTGGTTGCTCATTTCTTTGGGATAAACAATAAATGACTTACATTCGGAATCTGTCTTGACCCACTTATTTCCATCATCGGCAACAGTATTGAACTCGTCTTCATCATTGTCGGATTTGGCAATTTGTTTGTCCTTCAGGTACTTCTTTTTAACCATCGTCGAACTTGGACCTTGCGGATATATCTTCTTATTGAGTATTGCCCTCAAAATCTAAAGTCAAAACCAGAGCAAAGTAAAAGTAAGATAATCAATCACAAACGAAGTATCATATACATTTCTGCAAATCTACGTTAAGGGCTAAGAAGAGAAGAGCACTGGCTTCACCTTCTCCATTCTGCTCTCTGTAGACAGTGGATCTTTGAAACTGGGAGTAGGATGAAGCCCACTCCTGCAAACAAACATCTTCTTGAGAAGAAAAGTAAGTGATTTGTTGCCAATTGCACTCTTATTGTTGTTGTTGTTGTTATTATCCAAACAAAGATCTTTTCCCCTGCAAGGAATCAAACTGCCGTTTGGTAACAATGTCTCTTTCTTTTCACAGTTTGAACAAGTATTCGTGTGATCAGCAGAGGATTCTTCCCGGAAGCACATCTTCAATTCATTCTGAAAATTGTCGCCTTCTTGTTCGTCAAGTGTAAGCTCTTGTACACAATCATGAGAGCATGATAAATCCTCTGCAACAATTCTTTCAGAGTCGTCTTTCAAATTGTTGTTTCCGAAGGTCCCAATTGCAAGGATTGCACGTGGCCAGTCACTGAACTCGTCTTTGCTAGCTTCATCCGCTACAAAAACTGGTGCGCAAATTAATGAACAAAACCTTAAATCTATATCATCGTCTATAAATCTGGAAATAAGATTCCTTCAATTGCGACAGATACAAATATGATAGAAAAGAGTGGAGAATGCTTACGAGTAGATGAACTTGAGTTAAGTTTGTTCTTCGCCTTACTGCCATTTAGCTTGCTGTGCATCCAATTAAATAGCTGCAACCAAAAGAGGAAACGACAAATGTGGTGAAGAATTAAGAAGCACTACCAACTCACTGTAACATGAGCTATAGGAATGGGTAGGAAGACAAATAAAAAAAAAAGAAAAATTGGTTACCTTCATTTCGAATTGAGGAAACTAAGTAAGGGAAAGATGATGGAAGATCGGCGTCTCCAAGAGATGAAGAGAGCGCGCAGATCCCCTACAGTTAAAGAGGTGAAGCCGTGGAGGAGTATAAATAGAAAGGGAAGTGTGGTGTGTGCAGAATTTTACAGCCAACCAAGTCGACGCCTCTGGTTCAAGTTCCCAAATCCGGCCCTTTGCCGCCACTTCTCTCTCGTCTTTTTCTTTGTCTCATGATCACAAATTATATATGGCTGATGGCAAAAAATGTGTTGGGAGGCTTGCCCAAGGCGCCACTATCTCGACTTTGTCCTAACTTTTTGAATCAAATAACAAGGTTCCCAGAGTTACCCCAGTTTCTCTGGATGCTAAGATCCAAATGGTAAAACAATGTAATTTAACAGCTCCAACGCCATCTCGTTACAGAGGAAATAAAGAGTACCGACTAGCAAAGTAAGGATGAGCTTGACAACCTAAGCAGAAATGACACGTAATAAATGTTTTCGAGTGAATAAATATGCCATTCGTGAGTTCTTAAATCATAAATTTATTTTTTTGTTCAAACAATACGTGTTTATATAATACCTACACTACTCAGGAGATATATAAATATAATCTTAAAGCTTTCAAAGATCATAAATACATTTCTAATATCTAAATACGATCACTGCGAAGGTGGCAAAAAATCCGATTGAGTACGTGTTTAATTTCAAGTTAATCGTGATCGAAATCATGTTTTGACCAAAACAATATGACAATAGTTTTGCCAGCCAGAAAGAGCTACGTACAAAATCACCACAACCACACATACTATAAAATGCGTAAAGATTAAATGAAAAACCTACACATAATCTAGGAGGATGCGTAGAGAATTAAAAAGAATAATTTATAAATAGTATTACCGTTCTTAATTAATATTCGTGTGATGATTAGGTGGGGTTATATGCATTACATAAAGTTTTCAAAAATAATTCACACTGTTAATTAGTGAATATTTGCTGCGGCTTTCATGTTTTAAAATATACTTCTATGCATATAATGACTATTAAGGGCGGGTCATGTGAGTTACACAAGAGTTAGATTTAACAAATTCTCATGTTGCATCTCGGTTTGTTGCCCCTAATAGTACATTGCTAGCATTATATCAGGATACCCGCTCTTCGACGTCTGTTAAAATTAAGATTGCATATATGATTTTTTTCTTTTGGGTTAAAAATTGCATAGTTATTTATTATATCTATCAACGTGCATGGCACAACACGTGCGCGAATCAGTGAAATTGTTTTTGGCTCAAATAATACAACTTATTAAACTTTTATTATTATCAGTAGGCGTGACTACTTTCATATTTGATTTTATATAAGTGTGCGTGTTATACTTTATATAGAAACGCATTATATTCATAAGTTGAGTAATGCTGTTTATCTTAAACGCTGTAAAATGTGGGATTTACATTCAAGTTTCTGTAAGACTAACATTTACAGCAACAAAAAAGCCATATTCAAGATAGAAAATATAACATAATATCAGAACATTGTAGAAGTTAGAAAATGGCCTGATTTGTTGTCACCAAATAAAAGAAGAACGCATGAGAGACTTCGAGATGCTCTGGAACATTCCCTTTGCTTCTCCTTCCCTCCTGATCGTATGTGGTCTCTTCTCTGTGGAACGCTTGAGAGACTTTCCTTTGTTTAGTCTCATTTGAGCTAATTAAATACGTTTCCATTCCACTAATAAATAAAAGATGATTTAATAGGTTTCAGAAATTACTGGATGATAATTTGTGAGCAGAGTTCGCGGGGGGTGTCCCTTACTCACCCGACCCCTGCGTTCTGCTGAGACGTCGCATCACCACCACCATTCCTTTTAAATCCCCTTACCCTTATTGCTCGTACATATTATTCAGGACCAGTACATATTATTGCATTAAATTTATTTTATTATAAAGAGCATTTTAAATCCAGACTTTCAAATAAACGTATAGTATGTGTCCCTGTGCAGGCATGCATGCAATTCTGGATGTAGATGTTGCTTACTAAGTGAGATTAAAGGCTAAATTTGATTCATATTAGTGCGGGAGAGATTACATTTAGGTGTGTGTAATACTAGTAATTAGTTGGAATAAAGAAGCGAACGCGAGTGAGAGGTAAATAATGGAAAAGAAAGAAAAGAAGTGAAGTCAAAGTAATGAAAGGTTTCTCGTACTTTGATAAACGCCAAATCGAGAAACCAAACCCAAACTTACCTAATTAAGTTGAAGAGTGAATATTCTTTGATTCTTGGTGAGGAATTCGAAAATCTAAGATTTGAGAAATGAAAGCGTAGATACAAAAGTGGGTGGCGCAAACACAGAACACGAAGACAGGTGTTGGAGAGGCTTAGGTGAGATGGGAGGGCACGTGAAGATGTTGGTAAGAAGAGTAACGGAAAACGAAGCCAGGCATGTGGGAGGTGGAAGGGAAGCCACGTGTCAAAGAACAGGCGAGGAGATAAAAACACGGGGACCGTACCAGACCAACACGTGGCTCGAAGGTGAAGCTGAGGTGAAATGTTTGTCATGGAGAGAAGCAAACAGGAGCACGTAAAATAGAGGGCACGCAGGAGATCATCCCCACAACACATGCGAAACTTTGATTGCTGCTCAAGGAACGCGCATGGGTTGGTGTCCCACGTAACACTATCTTAATCTTTTCACTCCCTATCAAGCTATCCTCACTCATTTGCGCCCTTCATTTCCTTAATTATTTGTTTGTTATTACTTACTCTAACTAATTAATCATTACACAAATTCATGCTTTAATTAAGTACTTAATCAGTTTCGTATTACGTACGTGCTAAACTCACGTGAATTACGCGAGGGTTCCTAATCGGCTGAATCTCTCTTCCCCCACCACCCAACTCATCACCATCTATGATATTCTTCGACTTTGGTCATCACCCTTATCCCTCTCCGTCTTAGTCTCGATGATTTCAATTTGAGTTTCAAGAATGACCTTCGTTTTGATCTGGTTTTGGATTGAACCACATTTCAGATTTGGATTTAATCCCCAGTATCAATATACTACCTCTGATTTTTAATATTAGAGCTAGTTAACTAATTTGAGTAGATTAAAAATATTAGTTAAGTTAACTATTTGTAATAAATATGTGAATATTTTTCTTTTTAAAATATTCTTACTAATCATGTATATTAGTTAAAATTATCATTTGATGAACCTTTAATATGTACCACTACTATAAAGACTACTTTGAAAAAATAGACAAATATGAAAAAAAAATAAATTTCAGTCTTTTATTTAAAATCAAATAGAATGTCGAACTAACTCTTCTATTATTATTTTTTTTGGTGAAAAACTAGCTCTTGGACTAGAAATAGTATTGTTGAAAGTATAGATAACCAATTTGTTTCTTTTTCCCCTGTTTTTTCTTTTTGCCAAAAGATAACCAATCTACTGGACTCTCGATCGGCGTCCACTAATACATTCATTTATTTTTTCCCCAAAAATTTATTGCCAATCATAGTCAAAGGAAAAAAGCCGCACAAAATCATTTATTCCTTTGCATGTTAATTAACTAGATTTGGATCCTCCGTTATTTATATTAGTATATATGGAGTTTGAGGTCGGGTGCACTATTTAATTAGGACTTGATTATATAAATACATGATTTCTGTATGGTACCAACAATTTTATAGCTTATAATTAGGAAAGTAAGATTATGTGATTCATTCAAATACAGTAGCGGAGGGAGGAAACGATGTTCCAAAATGATCTTTGAAAAGGATCTGCTTTAAACCAGATCTCAACCCAAAAAAATAAAATTTTGCTTCTGCCCTGTTCAAATATGTTGTCCAATTATAAACGACAAATGAAGTCCAAAAACAAAAGAGGACAATGGAAGTCATAGCATACCCCCATACGTGTCACTTTCAGGATTGAAAAGCAGGGCTTCTGTTAACGTGTCAACCCATAACGCCCAGTCTCAAGGATCCCTTTCGTTTTCTGTGTTCTGAGTCATCATTCTCATGGATAACTTGGTAAATAGATTTCGAGTTTTAAAGGGGAGAGAACATGGCCCCACGGGTTTTCAGCTATGTTTTCATCACAGGTCAGTAATATCTGCTCCTTCTTTCTTGCCCCGCGGATTTCCTTCTTCGTAGCAATTTGTTTATGTGATTGCACTACGCAAATCGAATTGGGATAGAATTGCGTTTGTTCATAGATATCTTCTTGTTTCACTCAGCTGTTTGATATTGATTCCATCATGGTTTCTCTTGGATTCATTTTACTTTTTATATTAAGCACTAACGATAGCCAAGCAAGGTGATGGTGATCAATAGCGATTGAATAGCGCAAGGGGAGACCATAAGGGTGAGAAGAAAGGCTTAGAACACCGAAGTCAGTAACCTTAAAAAAGGAAAATGAATCCAATAAAACTAATAGAAATAGGATTTGACGTGAAGAATTCATTTGATGACAAAATAATTTGTCATCCTGTTATTTATATTTGATGCATCATTGGAAGTAGATGTTGTTGCATAATTGATAATCTGATAGAATTATATCGTTTTAAAAATATATTCCAAGTACAAAGGTTATATAAGTAAAATAATTCGATTGAACTCATTAGTAACATTACTACACTAGGTTCATAAGTTCTATAGGTAATGGATAATTGTCAAAAATGATCTACGTAACCTGCACAAGAGTGGTGAGAAAATGATACTCAAAAGGTGTTTTCTGTTCCAGAAGGAAATTATGATCATGCTGTTCTTTTAGCGACTGAAACTAAACACCTGCTTGGTCAAATTGAATTATTCCTAATGAACATGTATCGTAGAGCTGTTGGCATATGAGGCCAAACAACTAGAATTTCAATGTCTGATAATAAGTTGACCACCAGTACTCAAGCTATATCTCTTGTACTCCCAATCCGCACAAAATACAGAAAAAGGAAAATGAAGAATGTGACACGTTTACTTTTTAGGTGGACCTGTCTACTGCCAGATGGGCTTTCAAATCCCTGCATATCCAAATAACGGTGCTTAACTGGTAAACTGCCATAAATGTGAAAATTTGCCAATTATTCATAAGTTCTGAGGTTCTAGGAGTCCAACATGAGGAATGGCATCTAATTATTTATCAAGCTTAGAAGGAATCTATAAAGATTATCGCCAACCAGCACTGATCATTGCGGGATTCTTTGTGGTTATAGCTTTAACACTCTCCATTTTTCTTATTCTGCAACATCTCAGATCGTATACCAACCCTGCGGTGAGTTATTTTCCTCATTGTAATCTAAACAGTCAAGTACATTTTTTAAAGTTCTTATTGTTCAATTGGTTTACCTTTGACATGCCATGAGCTATGCGTAAGTTTTATGATTCTTGGTCCTTCAGGTTGTTAATAATATTGATGTTTGGAAACTGTATTCATATACAGTTAGGACTTTTCCAAGAGCATAACATGCAATCTTTTGATTGTCACAGCTGTTAAGCCCCCAGAGAGGAAAAGAAAATACTAGGTGTTGTCACATATTTCTTGCTACATTGCATCTTGAGCAGGACCTATAGGAGTATTGGAGAAAAAATTGACTGCGTATATAGCACCCATGCTGATTTAGTTCATTGGATATTTAATTGTCAAACGTATGAGCCGGAGGTCACATAAATAATTGAGTGATTGAATTAAGCATACTATCCTTTAATTTGGGAAGTTTTAATGGTTTTACTCATGCTAGAGTTTCTTTGAACTCGAACATTACCAGTCATTATTGGCAAAGGCATTTACAATTAGCATGTTATCATGTGAATGAAGTTTTAAATGAAGTCTGAGTTAAGAATTTTATTCTCTATGCATGATCATAAAACCCACAATAAAACTCTTCATAGTATATATAATCTCTTAATCCATAATTAACTTGTATTCAGGAACAGAAGTGGCTTGTTGCTGTCATTTTTATTGTTCCAGTCTATGCTACAGAGTCCGTAAGTTTCTGACTCTAAAAATTGTATTCTTGATTTTGTATTGGCATTTTGGACCAGTGAATGGAAGCAATAACTACATGCAGATCTGAAGTTTTAAGACTGTATCAAGATGCATGCATTTGTTGATTGGTTTATATTTGAGCTATTCCCAATCTTTTGTTTGAGGAGACATGAACATCGAACATTGGTTAATTACTCTTGTACAATACCCTGCATGTGTTGGTGGATTCATCACTAAATTTGGGATTTGAAGCAACTTTAGGAAGGATGAGTTGAAGCACACCCATCATAACATTTGATTGATGTCATGAAATAGAGTTGAAGAGTATACTTCGAAGTTTGAATGCAGTTCTTTTTCCTGAAAGAGTTAATCCAACCATCCAAGTGCAACCTGAGTTTATGCCTTGATAAACAATTTTTACCTGAAGGAGGGATGTGAGGGGATTAACTATGGACAACCAGATATGTTGCAGCACTAAAGGCTTATGTTTGACTTCACCATTTTATAGTAATAAGATATTAAATTTCTATAGTGCACTTTCTTTTCAACTTCATCGTCTAATTGATGCCTTCCTCTGTCATGAGTTATTTCTCCTTTGAGAAAATTAAGGAAAAGGGGGAAAAGGATGTCTCTAATAAATCTGTGCATGTAAGTGACGTCAATAATAATACAAAGCTTCACTTCTGTCTCTTGTCCTTCCAGATTATATCTCTGTGGAATCCAAGATTATCACTTGCATGTGACATTCTGAGAAGCTGCTATGAAGCATTTGCTCTGTACTCTTTTGGCAGATATCTTATTGCTTGCCTCGGTAAGTTACTGTTACAAGTCTTGAGAGAACATTGTTATGTGTTCTGATATCTTACAAATCTAGGTCTCTGTCTCCGTTAAAATTAGCATGGCATGTTTTGAAAGTTTCAGTGGATTCAGGCTTTAGAATACTTTGACTGGCTCGGAAATCTGTGAAATAAAAATGAATAATTTTTATGTTCCCCACTTGTGTAATCTGTTCTAGGTATAAGGAAAGGGGAAAAAAAAGGATATGCAGATGGATTTCTTTATAAAGAAGAATATATTATTTGGGCTACTCAAGTCAAAGGTAAAATAGGTCATGTAAGTCGTAGAATAGATTGAGAAACGTTTCTGCTTTGCAAGTGGCGGATAATATACCTAAATCTTTACTTCAATGCTACCCACCTCTTTCATCGTTAACAAGAGTATCAGATAGTTTGGCATGACTTCACAATCATATGCTTTATGTCATTTTGCTTATTCAAATAAGGTTAGGAAAATATAATATTTCAAGTTGATGTTATCTTTTCTCTGAAATTACTGGCTCAAATTTTCACACTACTATTTTTTTGTCCGAGAATTCTGTTTAGAAGAGACAACATATCTTGAGTTTAATTGTCATTCTATCCTCTCCAACAAAAATTTTGTTAGGGGGTGAAAGAAGTGTCGTAGAACTACTTGAAAATGAATCGGGAGAAGAACTTGGAAAATCATTGTTAGAAGGATCAGATGAAAACTCCAATGTACGACAAAGATCATTCTACAACTTTTTTTGGCATCCTTCTGCTATTGGAAAAGATCTTCTCTCTATAGAAAAATTTGGTCTTGTCCAATATGTAAGTCACTGAAGTTTTCTATGGGCGGGACATTGTGAATTTGTAATTCCGAAAGGACACTGATATTGCCTGGTATAGTGCAGATGATCCTGAAGACTCTCTTTGCATTCTTAGCATTTTTGTTGGAACTCTTTGGAGTTTATGGTGATGGAGAGTTCAAGTGGCACTATGGGTATGTTCCTCGTACAAAATTTGATCCAGTACTATCTTAGTGCAGGACTGTATCACGTAATTATTTGTTGTTCATTCATATTTCAAATATATACTTTTCTTATCCGTTATTTATACATAGTAATAAATTCTAGCCATTATATCTCTATTTTCTGGTGATATTAATAATGGTACTGCATCTTTTACAGGTACCCATATATGGCAGTTGTATTGAACTTCAGCCAGATGTGGGCGTTATATTGCCTTGTGCAATTCTATAATGTCACCCATGAACGGCTTGAACCAATAAAGCCACTTGCGAAATTCATTAGCTTTAAGGCCATTGTGTTTGCAACTTGGTGGCAAGGCGTAGGCATTGCGCTATTGTGTGCATTTGGAGTACTCCCGAAGGAGAGGAAAGGACAAAATGGACTGCAGGATTTCTTAATTTGTATAGAGGTTGGTTCCTTCGTTATTCTATGGTGTAGACTTCGAACTATTCTTTTGTTAGCTACTTTGATACTCCAAAGAAGATATAAAAATTTTAACGTGTAGGCTTCTATAGGCATTTGTGCAAAATGCCCAAGTGAGAAAAGAAAGTTTAAATGCTCTGGGAGAGATTAAGACAGACTAAATGCTTCAGGCTGTAGCTAATTAGTCTAAGCTCAGTCATGATGAATTTCCTGTGAAAAGTACTGATGGGAGATTACTGAATTCCAGGACAGACAGGCGACCAGCTGATAGAGAATAGAGAAAAGAATCAGAAAAGATAATATTACCTCCCACCTTTGTTATAGAAGTTAGTTGAGGGGTTGAATTTTGTTTATAAAGCCTCAATCCACCTTGTCTCTCAAATTTATTATTTCTTTTCCAAAATATTTCTATTAGTTGTAAGGAATTCTCATTAAAGCATAATTTGAATGTAGATGATTAAATAGGCCAGTTTGGGCATTTAATACACATTTGATATAAATAATTAACTTATTAGTTTTTTTAATCTCCTCAAAGTAGTTATGTAGTTCTTATCTTAAGCATGGGAGGAGAATTAATTATTTGTAAATTTTGGATTGTGAATTAGGAGTTGAAGATAAATATTTATCTTTGCATCTCTGTGCTGCCAGACCGGCAGTCTTATATTGTCCTTATATTCTTTAAAATAAAAATAGTGGGCTTCTACTTTTGAAATGAGTCTCACTTATGAAGATGTATAAATGATATATAAATATATAGATTTGGACTGTTTGATCTCTGTTACGTTCCATATTGATGCAGATGGCGATTGCAGCTGTTGCACATATGTGTGTATTTTCCGCAAAACCATATCATTTTCTCCCTGCTTCTGCTATGGAAAGTTACCAAAGAAACAATAAAAGGGTCGCTGAAATTAAATGAAAACGAGGAAAAACCAGCTGTGCTTGAAGAGACAGAAGCTCAAGTTCAGGCTCCAGGAACAAGCATCAAAGAGAGTGTCCAGGATATTGTCGTTGAAGGTGGCCAACGGGTAAGTTCTTTGCATAGTAATGACCACCAAGATAAGTTTTTATAATCACTACTCGCCATTTAATCATTTCCTATGGGAAAGATACTGATACATATATATATATATATATAATATAAAAAAAAAGGTTGTCAAGGATGTGGTGTTGACAATTAGTCAAGCCATAGGACCTATGGAACAGGGGGTTTGAGAATTCAGCAAACCTTCCACCGCAAATCAGAGGCTTCAGAGGATGAAGAATCGATTGTAGAAGTTGGGAAAGAGGTGACGGAAAATTTTACGGGCGATGAGAATGAAATTGATGTTTAACCTGTAAGAAGAATTATTGTTGTGATAATGAGGATGAAATTTAGCCTTGCTGATGTTCCAAAGTCTGATTGTAACCTTAGGAATTTGAGCCGATTATGATGGAGTTTTCCTTCAACTCCAAGTCCCTGCTAAAAATTACTCCCTCCGCCCGTAACTTTTTTAAGTTAATTAAAACCAGTTATTAAAAATTATTAGTTAAAGGAGTTTGATTAATTGATTAAAATATGCTATAACAAGGATGAGGAAAAGTAATCCAGCTAGCATTGCATTATTACTAAAAACGATAAATAAAACGTCGTGGAAAATGATGTTACAGCGTTTGATTTTCTGTTTACCACCTGTAGTCGAAATGCTCTCCTTCAACCATACGCATAAATGTGATGCAAGCTCGATCATGATTTGTTCATTTTTCACAAAAGCTGCATTGAGAATGAGGGCTAGGGCGCGTGGGGACTATGGTTGGGGGGCATTGTTACAATATACTGCCCTTAATATGATATAAGAGTTAGGTTGAATGCTTCACTTTTAATTTGATTCTAAATATAATATTTTAATATATTGTTGCTCTTATTTTTTTATTTTTCTCAAAGTAATCATTATATTGGTTGTATATGTTAAATGTTTCATCATATGGTACTTCTAACTAATTACACATAGTTAATAAAAGTATTTTAGAAAAGACAATATCTATTTATTTCAAATAACTAAATTAACTAATTTTGGTAGTCTACTTAAAATTAGTTAACTAACTCTTATATTTAGGATTGAAGGTAATATATTACTTTGTAAATGTACATTTTTTTTATTAATATGGTGTAATGAGGATACTCCTTTGATAAGGAAACTTAAATTGATTTCTTGAGTAGACTCTTTCTAATTAAATCTATAATATATCTAAATTAGGAATTAAATTTCGAATTACTTGTTAATGCGACAAGAGTCCTTATCACCCATGAATTAGTTGAATTTAGAAAATAATTCATTTAAAAATTATAAATTCAAGCATCAAAATGAATTTCATTGCAATGAATATTTTATTTTAGAAAAAGGAAATATATGGTTTTTAGTCTTAACGTTGCAATCAATTTGAGTCAATTATGTAATGACGTGCTACTTATATGACTAATGAAATTTGGTCAACCTCCACCCCAAGTTTTTGGAACTTGGAAGTGATGCTGACTTGCTAATGACAAGTTGCGAATATGACTAATAAAAAACTATACACAGACAAATTTTCTTCAGAAATATAATTTAACATGATTAAAAAAATAAAAATAAATAATCCCCACACAAAAAGCACCGATTGATTTTAAAAGTAGTCGAGAACTCCTCCATTTTCTGCTATGTTAGCTCAAATTTCACCACTTCCGATGCCACGCATTACCGGTTGTGGCTGCTGTGGCTTGTAATGTATACAAGCCCCGCAAACTACACTAAACTTAAATGACAAAACGAATTTTCTCTATCCTACAAAAAAGAACATACTTTTCTCCCATTCTTAAATGTTCGAACTTCGAACAAACGAATCAAAGCACAGTCCGAACAAAAACCAGGGCCCCCAAACAGAACCCTTTTTTCGATCACCCAAAAAGGCAAAAAGACTAACCCTTTAACAAGCATATGACCTGCACATATACATGGATGTTCTCTGTTTTTTTCCCCTCCCTTTCCGATTAAAAAGGTGTAGAGATTGCAATATACAACAATCATATACAATTAATTACCCGAAATTTCAGCCTTCATTCGTTGCCATGACAGCATAACTCTGAGCAACAGCTGAGGCAGCCCAAGCATCCCAAGCCAATGCAAAGCTGAGTCAATGCAGTTAGACATTGATTGTTCAGCCGAGTACAGACGTTGATACAGCACGCACAACAGCATTGATCGCACAAACTGCTACAACAATATTGGGCAGCCTTCATCAATTGTTCCGCCGCTTCCGGCAACTTTGTCTCCCCAGCTCCTGGACTAATATTTTCAACTGTTGCACTCAGGTTGCCGAAGCCGATGCTTAACTTTGGGAGTCTGATTGTTCTCTGCCCTTGGACGTTGGTTACTTTTGGAGGGTGGCCTTTTTTCGAAACCTATTTTATGCAAAGACAGTTAACCAATGTATCTTTGAATCCATGATTTTCTATATTCCATCGCCGAACATATGAGTGGCAGAATAGATATATGTATTTAAAGTAGATTGCAAGTTTTCAAAGGACAGGAAAAAACCACACGTAAACGAGTTTCAATTAGACATGAAAGCTAAATATAAATATTTTTGCACAGCCGCTTGTCCACTTTACTTTGAAAAAGAGCTTACAAACTTTTAGGTAAATACCTCTTTGGCTCCATCTGATTGATTCACTTTCTTAAGCAACTCATCATTCTCAAGGAGTACCATACGAGTGTACTCGGACATAAAGCCAGTCTCCAGGCTTAGTTTTGCAACCTGCCAATTAAATTGATGGACAAAAGAAAGCTTTTGTAAGCATGAGAATTGACTGATGCGTTCCCAAGGCATCTGGACAGAAATAAATAGGAAGTAACAAACCTTATCTTCTATCTGTTTATTTTGTGAAACCCACGCTTGAGAAGTGAGATGCTCAATTTGTTGCTTTGCAAAAACCTAGTATGAATACACGTGATATTAAAATATTAATTAATTCGGTTAAATGAATATAATAAGCAAAAGAAAACTAGATAAGGGGGTTATAGAATACGAAAATAAAGAATGGCAAGCAAATAATGCAGAATCTTACCCTTTGTATAGGAATATCCTTTGCATTTCGTATCTCCAAAACCATTGTAAAATTACTGAAATCAGCTAAGATGCCTTTAACTGTTAATTTTTCAGGAAAAGCCCCCTTATACCTTCCACAAAACATCAATGGACCCTCTGATGAAAGATCTGGAATTTGGAATGGGCACACCTGTCATATAATGTCATTAGATGGAACCACAATGGCAAAGTAGAGTTATCTAAAGAAGTAATATATCGTAGCAACTATGCGACAAAAACAGTTTATCGGTCATAGCTAACGGGACATGCGGGCTCCATCATTGCATCTCATAAGAGTATTCAATTTCTAATATCGCTTAAAACAAGATACAAATACAAACCAGCACGAAACAAAAAATGGCGACACCGCAATAAATTACCACAAATCATCTTCAGGAGTCATAGCAGCATATTTTGCATCGTCAGAATCACAAAATCAGGATCAGGATTTTTAACGAAAAGTATTAAAATGTCTTACCTCAACTTCATCAAGATCATTAAGCATGTCGATGGTGATATTTGCCAGAATGATAGATGAAGCTTTATCAAATAATTTAAGTATTCGAGGTGTGACCAAATCTGTCCATTTCAAAATGAAGATCGTTCAGTCGGTCTATTGCACTAAAAACATGCATTAGCATAAGCAAGCCACGTAGAGCATGCCATTGAAAAACTTCGTGTTGAACACCCAAAATAAGTTCCCTACAGTGTTTGGCCAGCAAGTTACAGTATTTACATTGCAAATATTTTCGCATCAAACTGTATCTTGAATCGGCAGATAAATAAATAATGGATTAAGCAGCAACAAGGTATCTTTATTTGTCAGGCAAGCCAAATACACGATTTCTTTTTTCATTACTGGACTTGGCCATGACTTTTGTGAACAATCTAATATTTTAATAAAATATTAATACCTTAATATTTAATAATTTGAAAATCATTATTATTTACAACTCAATCTCTTAGATTTACAAGTGAATTTGTATAACTTTTGCATTGGTTATTCAAATTCTACGTATTGATCTACAAGTCAACCTCTTTAACTTACGAGCTATGCTTTAAAATTAATGAGCCAAACTTCAAAATTTACAACTTAACAAGGTTAAAGAAAACTCAAGTCCACTTGTAAATATGAGAGGTTGTCTGGTAAATCTAGCATGTTGACATGTAAATATAAAAATATTAATATTTTAATAAATAATATAAAAAAAAAATTCTTTGACTGGCGTTAGTCCACACAGACCAATCAACAGCCGGTCAAATTCGTAGAACTTACTTGTAAATAAGCTGGTTATCTAGGACCTATGCACCCCCAACTTAAATGGTCTACTTGTTTGTTAGGCATGTACTAATGGTAAGATCTGGGTCTATGAGAACCTTGTTCCCAATATCTTACGAAGTTAAGGAAAACTGATCACTTACCCACATCTAATGCAGCATCATATTGGCCCCTACCAATCGCAGCAAGCATGCTCAAGAAATAATGATTGCAGAACGGACCTGGCATATTCAAATAAAAGAATGGTAAACTCTTAACATCAAACACAACTCAACAAAAACTTTTAAGAGAAATATATTGGAAAACAATCTTCTAATGTAAAAATATATTGAAGGCTTCTCAAACATAACAATAAGAGCAAATGGTTTGAGGAGCAAGAAACACTGACCTATACCGAAAGTGTAAATCCGGGGGCATATTGAATCTTTATTGATCATATGCTCCTTCATAATGTCACAAATATGTCTCTCATCCTCAACAGATCCATCTGTAACCAGGAAAATCATTGGAATTGACCTTCGAACTCCTGATAGCATCTCTATTGCCTGAAGAGAAAAAGGAAACAAAATATAATACTCCAACCAAAGATCATGAACATCAAAGCTAGCACAGGAATAAATAGAGGCAATGGGATTTGGGGAATTGATTCTTGCATCAGGCTGAGCACAAATTGATATTTGCTTTTTCAGTGCAATGGCCTTAGGCAGTCAATAACTTCTGCTCAATGAACCTTGTGGTTATTTTCATAGATCTACCATGGACACAACAAGATTAACTGATAATAAATTCATTCAAAGATGGTTTAAAATGTACTTTGCAGTAATTCTAGGACACAAAAACAATTCTAGCATCTTGTGTAAACAACACATGGCTTTAGATGAGGATTCAAAGAAACTGTAGAATTGTTAAAATGTACCTTGTTCAAGGGATGCAAAATATTTGTGGCACCTT